GACACTAACTGGCTCTCACTCCATCCGTAACACACCATATGATGCGATCTTCATAGGCCTTTTGGTGGAAGAGGGACATAAGCATGACATCCTTACAGCAGGTTATGATGGGATTTACACCTATTTTGCCTCCAATGGCTTTTCTTTTGGTTCCTCTCACCAGAACTGGAAATCGATCAAGAACTTTTGTGACACCAACAACCTCATGTTTATTCCAAGTGTTGGGCCAGGATATATAGACACAAGTATCCGACCGTGGAATAACCATAACACCAGGAACAGAGTTAATGGTAAGTATTACGAGACAGCCCTTCAGGCGGCACTTACTGTCCGTCCAGAAATAGTATCTCTCACCTCATTCAATGAATGGCATGAGGGGACCCAAATAGAGAAGGCTATGCCAAAGAAAACTGCCACTCGCCTCTATCTAGACTACCTTCCTCATCAACCTGACCTCTACCTGATTCTTACAAGAAAATGGGCTGAACATTTCAACAAGGAGAAGGAGCAGTGGCTAATGTGAGTTTACAACATACCCGCATAGAAAAATGTTCTACAACTAGGGTGGACAGTAACATTAACTACTATGTTCTTAATAAATTAATGATATTACGATAACTGCTGAGTGAGGTTTTAAGTATTGACCTAAAGTATGAAAAGAGAATGACTTGACCAACATCAGAAAATATGAACATGATCTATAAAACCTTTCTGTAATTATTTTTGAAACTTTGTTAAAACAACCCCTTATAATAAAGTGTGAAGATAAATCGTAGCTTTTTTTTTTTATACCTGTAACAATGTTTGTATTCAAACTAGTGTTACTTTTTATGAAAATGTTCTTTTGCTGTATGCTTACAGTATTTGTGTATTAATGAGAAACAGATAAAAAGTAAACAGGTCAGAATCACATTACTCTGTGGTAAACAAGATCATGTTTCTTGGCAACTCACTTAACCAAAATTATTGGGAATTTACCAATGAATGGCAACTGTAAGGCCAAAAGTACAAAGTCGTATAACTTCTAAAATTGCTTCCTTATGTAGATGTCTATCATTTATAGAATGTTCCCAGCTAAAATTGAGTTCTCATCAACATTTAATGCCCCGTAGATGCAGAATGGCACATTATGCAAACTGAGCATATTTCACATTTCCTTCATCTTAAAAACACTTTATTTTACAACCCATATTTTGTATTGCAAAAAAAACAAACAAACAATGGGAACTATGGCACAGGCAGTGTAGTGGCCCAGGGGTGCAAGGGAAGGTACGTTTTACTTATATGAAGTTGTCCCTTGACCATCCTATGGATCTTCAGCTCCTGGCACTTCATGTGCTAGAAGCTCAAGGCAGCCCTGTACTCTAATGCATGTGAGTACAACACTGATGTCTATGGAGGATCCCGCTGGAGCCTTCACATACCATGCCTTATTTCTCACAACTATGGGAATTTACAAAATGTGACTGCTTTGTCAAGCACAGAAAAAAGAATGCATAAGACACTCTTACACAGTGTGAATAATTCATAAAAAATTTTATTTTCTTATTTAAGAGGATAGGGGGCAATAATAGTCAAAAATCATGCTTACTTTGTAGAATAAATAAATATAAATTCAACAAAGGTTTTAGGTTAATTAGCAATAAGAGTTCAATATTGAACATGGAGCAGACTCTTGGTCCACGTTACAGCCAAGTGATCAGACAACTGTAATGAGCTTTGAAGCATGCACCTGGTGCTTAATTACCAGTTAGCAGTGTGTGTCTGCTATCAACAAGGTTTGACAATTGTGCTTTCTTAAGAGGAACCCAACAGTTTCAAAAAGACCAAATAGTCAATGCCCAAACTGCAGGTGCATAGTTTATATATTAAAAAAAAAAAAAATCCTACAAAGGCAAGTAGTGTCCGGAATAATCACAGAAAATGCCACACAGACATACAGCAAAATGGTTACAAGTTGAAGACGGGGTACATAGTTATCAAATGCCACACAAGTAAGCCTCTAAAGTTGGCATAAAACTGAGTCAGTAACTGATAGAGTTAACAAAAAACAATATACCATGGAAATACTGACAGGGTAAAATACAAAGACGTGTTTACGGAATAAAAACAAAAAAACCTGCACAATACTAGTAAGGTCTGACAACTGTTTTCAGGTCTTCGAATGGTCTGCCAACTACTTCTGCTGTATTAGCAAAATTTTGAAGTTAACACCCACCCTCTCCCCCCTCCATTTTTTTTTTTCTCCTATAAATTGCCTTATCAATATAATATATTAAAAAGTGGGGACCATAGTCCTTGTTTTAAATATACAGGTTTTTGAAAACAGACAATTCATTGTTCCATATATAAACACCCCATGTTGTAAACTACACTTACATAGCAACAGCTTTCTGAAAAAGAAATTAGAGCATCTCAAAGAATAGAAATGAGAGCATCTCGATGAATGGTTCTTTTATTTGCCTTTGACTTAAGGGCCCAAATACATGATAACTTGGCAGTAGAACACAAACAAAAACAGCCATGACAAGAGAGGATTATTGAAAATGTTGATTTGTGACAGCATCTCGAAAGTAACAAATCACAGACTGCCATTTTCTTCCCATCATTATTATAATTATTGGTATTTATAAAGCGCCAGCTTATTCCGCAGTGCTTTACAATAAATCGTGTACTTTTATATGTGAATATATGTATGGGGAGAGAGATAAAATGGTAAGATGATTTCACTACACGGGTATATTTTTTTAAAAATGTATTTTATTCTGTATTCAGTTTTTACAGGGACAACATATATAAAATTTTGTCCAGAAACTCCAAAATGAACATAAATAAGAAGAATAAAATGAAATGTTGCATATTCACATACAACTTGTGAAAACATACAGAATGTCAGGATGCAGTTTTCTGTCTGCTCGGTATGCATCTGCAGGCTGGATTTTCATCCTAGGCCCATATCTAGTTTTCCTATCAAATAAATGTGATCCATAATTCACAAAATGCAAGGATGCCAAAGGTTGTGCTTGCCAAGTCTTGAATTCAGACAAGTAACAGTAGCAGGGCAGAATGGAAATTGCAAAGTGATACACAACTGAATGCACCTAAAATGATTATTCTTTTTGCTTCTCAGACACCAGAGTACAGCACTTTAAATCTTGTATATTAACTCAAATTACTAGCATGCATGGTTATCAGAGTGAATAAAAAAGGGATGCACATTAACTATTTAGAACCTACATATTCTGTCTTCTTTGGTTAATTTCCCCTTTTGCCCCATTCAGTACTTTATCAGAGTTTTAATTGGCAAAGGCTAAATTTAATTAATAATGGGAGGATGAGGTCAGTAGTGTGCCATGCAGGGCATACAACTCATGGCTAAGAATATGCATCAATTTTCTCTTTAGCAGGCAGATAGCACATATTAAAGTGCTCATTGAGAAGTTTGTATCAACAATAAACATACCCCATCATTGACCTAGGCATACAATATCACTTCCAGCATGCGATCAAGCATATCCAGTATCCATGACCTATTTATAAGATAAGAACTGTGTTTGTAGCTTTCCTTAAAAAAACAGAAATAAGGTATATTTAATTAGATAGGCCAGTTTATAGATTTGCCTTGGGTGTAGCCCTGGTGCAAAAGCAGCCCACTTTATTAGTCTGCAGCATTGGCTAAAAATTAAACTGAATCATGCTAGCACAATGTATATATTAAGTTGTATTTCCTACCTGAATTAGATATGATCCACATCTACAAAAGTGTAGTTTGTAGGTCTATTTTAAATATGTCTTAGCTGCCTCTGAGTTGGTCATTTATCATAAAAACAAGTTATAAATAGAGTTGCTTTTTTAATACTAACATCTTTTGCAACAACTAAATAAATCCTTTTAAATAAAGCAGTGTGCTCCAAAACTCAACTCAGTGATATCATCAAGCATTTACATTTAATCCACAAAAAAAAAAAAAAAAAAGATGTGGACATTAAATGAACACAAAGTTCCCTCTAATACAGTCTGAATTAATCGTAGTGATCTTTATATGCACGCAATTTGTGGGAGGAAACCTGTGTGCTGTTTACATCCCCCTCCCCCCCCCCCCAAACCTTTGGATTTGGGGAGGTTCTACAGCCGAGACAAATAAAATATGTCAGAAAGTTGATTATAATAAAATTAATCCAGAATTTCCTTTATGTAATTAGCACACAAAAGGTAAAGAGATGGAATTGTTTAAATCTAAAAAGTCCTAATGAGGTCTGAAGAACAAACTGTTTCAGAGCAAAAGTAACACGTCCAGAAATATAGATCTGTCCCAAAAATATCCTAAATCTATCCTAAAATAAGCATTCTTTCCCACAAAAGAAATAAAAAAAGGGGTGGAGGAATAGGTTTCTTTTTTTTTTTTTTCCTAAACGTTTTGCACAAAAAGAAAACATTTTTTCCCCTTTCCAACAAAATTAAAAAAAACGTAAAATTAAAGCAAGGAAAATTCACCGTTTGTACAAATTATGTTCCCCCCAAAAATGCATTTTGGATATTCAAACTACTTGACGGCCAGGTATGCATCCTCAGAGGTCTGTGCATATTTCTGGTCTCGAAGGAGGGCGTCCAAAATCCAAACCAATTTGAGCAGCATTACGAAAGTGTCACGAAATGGGTAATAAGCCATATGTGTTTTTAAGGATTTCCAAGGTAGAGGCCAGAGCACTTGAAAAGAAAGAACACACAAATATTAAAGGGACACTTCAGGAGGTAACCTATTCTAATGCAATAAAAAAAAAAAAAATATATACATACACACACACACACAAAAAAACAGTATATTCAAAATTAAATAAAAAATTTGACGTTCATGCATTTGCTGCAAATCCTCACAGTTTGAAATGAGCTTAGACCAAACCAGGAATTATTTCAGGTTATTTAACTTTCTACGTCTACAACAAGAGTATCCATGCAAATAACATTTTACAAGTAGAGCAAAAGGCTCCAGGGAGTTGTAGCTAAATTGTCCAGAGATAGATAACTTACACAAAGGACAGTGCACTGCTAACCCTACTCCCCTCCCCCCCATAAAAACTCCAATAAAAGGAAATCCAAAATGGCCTACTCACATGCGGTAGAGCTAAAACCAGTAAGCTGATGGCAAAAACCTGTATGCCAAGTGACAAAGTAGTGCAGGAAACCCTTCCTAGTGGTGGTCCTCCTACATGGCAATTATAACGCATGTGATGTAGCAGCCAGATTAAAAACTATATCAAAAGCATTTTGCATGCTCAAAAGGTGTATAGGAATAGAGTGAGATATACTCTAGTGTCATGATCTCCTAATAGAAATAGAAATGTGTCACTTTGGTAAAATGGTATAGTCAAAACAGAAGGAGATATTATAAGGTCTCAGTCAATGGACATTGCAATATCTCTGCTCTCATATATCCCTTCCAGCCTCTAAGGGCTACTGTATGGCTATATGCATGAATTTAAAGGGACACTATATAGACAGCTTAATGTAGTTATTCTGGTGTGTGTAGCATGTCCCTGTGGGCTTTTAAATGGAAGTACTGCTTTTTCAGAAAAATGCAGTGTTAACAATGGCCACTAGAGGTGCTTCCTGGGTCAGTGCGTTCAGCTTCTCAACACCGCATGGCGACGCTGAACATTCCTCATGAGGAGATGCTCATTGGCGCAGCACAGGATTTTGCCGTGCATATGCAATAGTCTCCAAGTGCTGTTCTATGGAAAAGCACTGGATTGGCTGAGAATGTCAAGTTTGATGATCCGCGGTGCTGTTAAAAAAAACAAAAAAAGGGGGGGATGGGGGGAGAAATTACCTTTTACACCTCTAACATGGGGGCAGGAACTTAAACGGGGTTTTAAAAACTATAGTGTCCGGAATACACGTGACGGGATAAAACACCAACAGAATAACATGCACACATATTGTATAATTGGAAACAACACAGAGGACATGTAATGTGTTAATGTATTGGAACCTTACCATCCAGGTCGTAATACAGTAAACTTTCCAGGTACAGAAAGATCAACCACTGTAGACCCCAATCTGCATTCAGGGTTAGCTACATCTCCAATAGGACCTCCATCCACTACCAGAGACAGCATTGGCCACAGGTCTTTGAATTCCTAGAAGCAACAATAGACTGTTGAGTTGTTGACCGCAGAAACAGGAAATTGATAATCATGTTAGTGCTATAAAAAAAACCACAGATGTATTTACTATAAGGATGCTAACTCATTAAGGACAATCAATTCTCCAGCTTCTGAACCAAAACAAAACCTGGAACTACCCTAAACCTACAATGTATCCTATACCATCCCTAACCTAACCCTGTGGGATTCCCTCTTCTGACATTAGCAGAGGGATTTCCCAGCTTACACTGTAAAGTACTATCTACAGAGTAATTGCAGCATGCAAGGGAGGTGTATCTAAAGCTGCAGCACTTGCATGCACAGCCCAGCACTGAACACTGTCAGCAGGTAGCATGCAAGAGTAGTCTTTTCAGGCACTGGGGTTCTCCCTCAGTCTAAATTCATTTAAAGGAGTGTATGCTGCACACGCTTGGAGCACTGCAAATAGCTCATCAGCTAGTCATGAGCCACTAAATATGGCCCTAGCTGACAGAGGGGAGCCCCCGGAATTAACCAATACCTGGGTCTTAGCAGCGTGAGCAGGGATTTAACCCTGCTCACACTAGAACGAAAGGACATTTCTTTGGCATGCTAATGGTATTCAAGCCCACTATTTTCAGGATGGCATGGAAGGTCCCAACATCTTTAATGGGTTAAGCACCATTATCAATACATCCCATTGTAGTTACAGGGCTAGTACACTGCAGACATTGTTACATAGACAGTCCTGTGTCAAACCTCCAGCTGTCTGAAATACACATCCCCATGGACTTACAGCACAGCTCCTCAATGGATCGCTAAAACATTAATGACATTACCATTAGCAATTACTTCGGATAAATTTGGATGGCACTGATTAGTTAAGTTCTTCTAATATGGAAGAAATTAACACTTCTAATGCAGAAATTTTAATTCTGCTTTAGCAATAAAGTGAGGGAGGGGAAGAGCCACATGAACCTGCCCAATTTCTGTCACAACATTTGAAAACAAAGGGAAAACAGGAGTAAAATGAACAGGGCCAGCAGCATATTAGCCCCACAACCACTAGAACAGGTTGTAAAGGTTGTGGTACTTAGAGTATGTTAAAACGCAGCACACAATCTATAAACACTGCACTAAACCATACACAAACATTAGTCATATAAAAACACTGAATTGAAATGAATGTGTAGTATGTTTTTTTTCTGAAATATCACCATTGTAGAAATGTGTCGTTACTACAGCAGAGAGTTTCTTTCTTTCCACAGTTTACAAGACAAGGAAAAAAAAATAAAAAAATAATAGGCTGGCACATTTCACAATTTTTTTTTTTTTTTAAAGATTTTAAAGCCTTTTCTATAAATTTGCAGGGAGTTAAAAGTTTAGTGGATTGGTTACCCTTCCAGTACTCCAGATTTTGGAAAAATAACCACTAAAACAGAATTGAGAAATGCCTAAATTCTGGACTGCTGATATGCCTCATGTACTGGGATGGGAACCACTGTTTCAAGGAATATAGTCATTTTTCAAGTTATTACAAAAATAGTTCTGTGAATTTTAGAGTTAAGAAGGATATTTAGTATATAAATATTAAATGTATTAGCGTGCACATCCGGTGAAAACCCAGATAGCTACTTCAAAAGGAAAGAAGGTAATACCCCCAATTTTTGCCCTTTTAATCGGAACAACTTGAAACTGCATGAAGTAGAATTTTTTTGGGGCCTCTGGATCAATGTAGTGAGGATGTGAACGTTTGAATTTAATCTTGAGCCTTTAAAGTCCAGCCTATTTAGAAGGAGACGTTTTACAGACCTTGAATGGTAGAAATCTGTCGGAAGTTTAAATGAAACATGCATTGTTCAAATAGATTGCAACAACAGAAACAGGGAGTCTTTGTTTCATCCAAAGGATCAGTGTTTTTTTTTCGATTAGTTGCAGTACCTCGATTGATAATGTGCTCGACTGGGTACTGATGTTGGCACTGGTCAGTGCTAGGGGTTCAGAACACAATTGTGCCAACTGTCTGATGAATGCATGGTCAGGAATGCGGACGCCCACTAGCTGTAAGGCAAGAGAAGAGATTAAAGAGTATGTCTTTCACAAGAACCTTGAGAATGCAGATATAGAAATAAAACTACCTGATACATTCAATCAGATGTTGATCTGTACCTTTATCAAAAGCAGCAATAAATAAACTTTTAAAAAATGAACAGACACAACGTCCCATGGGAGGCTGCCATTGATGACAGTCTTCTCCACCCTGTGACTAGATTGGTGATCACCCAATTAAATGCTTCTCATAAGGAAGCAGCAGACTGTTTTCCAATGGAAGCTCACACTTATACTGAATGATTTGTAAAGGGGAGTGAATCACGAAGCCCTTAGTTGTCAGCTTGACTGCCAAAGAGATGTTCTTAAACGAATTCATAAAAATGCCAAGATCTTTTCAAATGTGCAATTTTTTGAATGGGGACATGGGTGACATGAAATCAACCCTTAAAGTGAGCCAGCCATGACAGCTAAGTTTGCAGTTTTCTTCCGATCAGAATTGATTCAGTTTTAAAATAGAGTTTCTTAAATACTATAAAAAGTTGATATTTTCATTCCACCGGTCTCCTGCTGAAACATCAATTGTCACACTGGGTGATACACTGCTGTAAGACACACTCCCTCCTGCATACACCTGTGTGAGAAGCACAGATTTGCTTCCAAGAACAGGTTAGAAGTCCCCTTATTGTATGCGGGATTTATGGTATGTAAATAAAACGTATCTGTTCCCACTCTCTCCATTCTCAGATTCCTTGTCCGAAGCGCCTTTGATAAATCATCCTGTCTTTCTCGTGAGCTGCTGCTGCTCTCACAGCACAATGTATAAATGAGATTTGATTCTCTATCATTTAAAATAAGTGGTATTTGACATGACAGGTAACCCTGGAAATATGCCAGCAAGCTGAAGTGCTTCAGTAGTCTGAATTGTCACTTTAAATCCTGTGTAGTGGAAACATAGCTTATCTGACCAAAAACCATACAGGTATTAAAGAAGTAGTGTTTGTTCATTAATTCTGACACCATGCTCAAGTAATGAGCCTCTCAAAAATGGTTTAAGACATTTAAAAATGATACCTAAACTTCACAGATAAATGGTGACTTTTCCAAAAAGGGATGGCTATCATCACAGAGTGAAGGTAAGCCAGAAGATGCACAAAACAAAGCAAAAAAAGCCCAACAACAAATCTTTCATTACAAAATAAAACATGGCAAGGCTATATGACAAGTGATCCTTTATATTTAGCAAGAAAAAAAAAAAAAAAAATTTCCTTTAAATGGGAAATAATAGGTACAAACATCTTTAGCTTATTGAATAAATTGCACTCTTCAATTCTCTGCCATATATGAGTTAAATCAATCACTTTTCTGTTTAGGAGGCGATAGTAACACCTACCATGGCTGTGACAGACACAGTCTGCATGAAAAAAAGCGGTTTCATTTTCAATCAGGTAATAACTTACTTGTTCTTAACGTTATCTCCTGCTGTGTACATTGCATCACACACAGGAGGCTCCTGCACAACCCAGCAAGCTATTAAAGCAGGAGATAAGAAAATCTATATAAAACAGACAATGCAATAAAAAAAGCTTAAACATTTCATCTCTCTTTACAGGAAGTGTTTATGGAAGGCTGTGCAAGTCACATGCAGGGAGGTGTGACTAGGGCTGCATAAACAAAGTGGTTTAATTCCTAAATGGCAGAGGATTGAGCAGTGAGGCTGCAGGGGCATGTTCTATACACCAAAACTGCTTCATTAAGCTAAAGTTATTTTGGCGACTATAGGGTCCCTTTAAGATGCTTGTCACAATGTACTAAGTGCTAAATTACATAGGCTGAAAAGAGGCATGTGTCAATCAAGTTCAGCTTTCCTCACATCTGTGTTTTTGCTGTTAATCCAAAAGAAGGCCAAAAAAAAAATAAATCCAAAAATAAATAAATCAACCTAGTTTGAAGCACTTCCAATTTTGCAAAAAACTAGGACAAAATTCCTTCTTGACCAGCAGGCAGATTAATCCTTGTATTAAGTGGTTATTACCCTGCATTTGGAAACATTTTATCATTGAATATTATGTTTTTGCAAGTATGCATCTAGTTGCTATTTAAACATCTATACAGGATATTAAAAAAAATAAACAACTTCCTCAGGCTGAGAATTCCATATCCTTATCGTTCTTACGAAAAAAAAAAAAAAAATACCCTTTCCTTTAGACTAAATCTTCTTTCTTCTGGTCTAAATGCATGACCTTGTGACCTATGTATAGTCCTGTTTGTGAATAGATTTCCAGACCATGGTTTGTATTGAATGCAAAAGAATAATAAGCGCTCTCTTCTCAGGGGTGAGGCATTCACTTTTGAGAAAGCTTCGGCGAAACGCGTCAAGTGAGGAAGAATTTTGGACTTTTAAACAGGACTGGTTTTATAGTTTATTATTCACTTTTTACTTATTGTATTAAAAGTATATATATTTTTTTAAACTATCCAGTCATTCCTTTTGTCCTCCTTCCTATCCAATACTGCTTTGCTGCTATACCTGGGTCCACTATATCCCAAGGTGGGGATTATTCCACCTGAAATTCTCCAAACTAGAGCAGGTCGTTGCTCTAGTATATGTAAGTAGGATCATCCACTTTTTTTTCACAATATTTTATATTTACGTACTATACCATGTGGTGTATTTTACTCTTGTTTTTCATGTAACGAATATTTACACCTATAAATTCACCAACGGTCTTGAACCTCAAGAAATCCATAGACGGGATTATTCCGTCCAGGCTCTTAACACCGAGCTGATATAGCTCCTCAAAGTGTGAGTGTGAATATAACACCTTTGTTCTTGTGGAATTATATCGTTCATACATACTGTACCATTATTTGTATTTTTGTTTCTCTTTTTTTTTTTTTTAAGTTACTCTGCTGGCCAGTATTTCTACAAAACGTATGTACATTTTCTGATTTTTAGCGCTGTTCACCTTTCTATTTTATCATGGTTTGTATTGGCCCAGGATATATTTGTGTAATGTTATCATATCCCCTCTAAGGCGCTGTTTTTCTAAACTAAAGAGGTTTCATTTGTTAACATTTCTTCAAAGCTAAAATGTTCCATGTCTTTTATTGATTTTGTAGCCAGTGTCTGCACTTTTTCAAGTGCCATAATATCCTTAAATTAGAGTTTTAAAGTGTGATATCTGCACTTCTGTACCTGGGACAAGATTTTTTGTTTGTACTACACAGTTCTATGGAAACACAGTTTAGATGAAATGTTCCAAAGATGTGTCGAGGCATAGACTTCACAAGACTTCTGAACTTGCATTGTGGTATCTGGCACCAAGACATTAGCAGCAGATCCTTGAAGATGCAAAGTGGGGCCTCTGTGGATCAGATTTGTTGTTTCATCACATCCCACAGATGTTCAAATCAGATTGAGATCTTGGGAATTTGGAGGCCAAGCCAAAATCCTAAACTCTTTGTCATGTTCCTCAAACTATTCCTGAACAATTTTTTCTGTGTGTCAGAGTGCATTATCCTGTTGAAAGAGGCCACTGCCATCCAGACACACCATTACCATGAAGGGATGTTAAATGGTCTGCAGCAATCTCTAGGTAGGTGGTACATGAGAAAGTAACATCCACATCAATGCCAGGACCTAATGTTTCTCAGCAGAACTTTGCCCAGAACATAACACTGCCTCAGCCAGCCTGCCTTCTTCCCATAGTGCATCCTGCAGTCATCTCATCCCCAAGTATAACAGTGAACATGCACCTGACCATTCACCTTATCTAAAAGAAAACGTGATTCATCAGACCAGGTAACCTTTTTCCACTGCTTCATGATCCAGTTCTTAAACTCACATCACTATTGAAGACACTTCACAGGGGTCATTATGGGCACACTGACTAGTCTGTGGCTACGCAACATCATACGCAGAAAACTGTGATGCTCTGTGTGTTCTGACACCTTTCTATTGTGGACAGCATTACATTTTCCAGCAATCTGAGCTACCGTAGCTTTCTGTGTGATCGGACCAGACGTTCTAACGATACTAAGCATTGGATATGGAAAACACTCTACAAGACTTGCCGTTTTGGAGATGCACTGACCCAGTCATCCAGCCATCACTATTTGGCTTTTGTCAAAGTAACTCAGATCTTTTCGCTTGCCCATTTTTCCTGCTTCTAGCACATAAAATTCAAGAACCGACTGAACTTGCAACCTAATATATCCCACTGCTATAACAGTGTTATTCCCTTCACCGGTTTTAATGTGGTGGTTGATCAGTGTATATGCACACATAAATTATTAGCATTTTCTTAAAGACCTCTCCATGATTTTTTTTTTTTTTTTTTAAACACAAAACAGGGCTTCATATACAAACATTAAAAAAAAAAATTTTAAAATGTCTATGATATGCATATTAGATCAAATCTAATGGCACCCAACTTTCTACTGGTTTGATAGCCTACATAATACACATACTTACAGAAGTGAAAGGGTTAAGCTCCTTATTAAGTCCATCTGATCGTTCCATCACTAAGGTAACTGGTCCCGGTAAAAGATCATGAAGTAACTGGTCTGGAACATTCACCTGGCAGTACCTGCATTTATACCAAAGTCACAGAATCAAAAAAAATAGTGGTCTGTTATGTAACACCGTTGTTCAAATACTCACTAGCCAAAAGAACCTGCACTCATTTTAAATCCCCAGTTGAGCGTAAATTGGCTAAATGTTGCAGATAAATAGTTGGACAATTTTAGAATATCCCCAAATCAATTAAACTCTACAAAGATAATGCCATATGGTATAAGCATGGTCCCAGAGCTGTAGTATAATGGCATACCAGTGACATCATGTAGTGTAGCTAGTACAACAAATTGTGATGCCACCTGGCATAGCCAGTGTTTGAAGCCATCTGGCCAGTGCCTCGGATTAAACTAAGGGATTGGGTAGAGAAATGGAGCCAGAAAATCCACCTCTATTATACATGGCAGTTACACACACACACACACACACACACCTTAACTCGGTATACACACAATGACATACACATACTTAGATAAAGCTACACACACAGTGTTTTAATTTACAGATAACTTTCTCACCGCATACCAAATCTGCAGCCGCAAGCCAATGAGGCGCCACTTGACAACCTCAGGTCACCTCTCCCTGTGAGTACCCGCATGTGAAGCTCAGTTGAATGTCAGTGAATTATCTACAGTCATCTAGTGGACTGGTTGCCCAAGAATGTCTGGAGTGTGATTGCTGTTAGCAACCACATTCCTTTCAAAAACATCATGAACTGACTGCTTGAGAGTGATAGGAGTGTGAATATCAGCATGTTCAGTTAATGCCAGATTTGTATAGAAATTGTGTTGCTTTTTCAAAACTTTAAATGTACAGACTACCGACACAACATGCCATTTATTATATGTATTGGCATTAATTCAGGAAAAATATCAGTCAATCCCTAATTTACACAGACAAGAAAGGTGGCAACCCTAACAACAAATAAGCACAAACCTATAAATATCTGCAATGTTCCCCACACAGATGGCCAGTGGTTTGGTCCCATTACGTCCCTTCACGTTGTAGATGTTGTCAATAGACTGGGAGTTCTGGGCTAGACAGGCAATGCCATAAATTGTGTCAGTTGGCAGGGCAATCACTCCACCTTGTTGCAGAATGCCAACAGATGTATTCAGGATCTCCTTCCAACCTACAATATTAAAGTGATATTAAAAAGTTGTATATAAATCTGGTATATACATATATATTCATGGGACTCAATTGACTAGACTACAGCAACATAGCCTACTTGACACCCAACCCGACTCCTGGAATTTTGCCTCCATTTGGCCCTTTATTACTCATTTGTGGTGCTTTGGCAGGTAACTCCTGTTAAACAGAGCAAATATAAGTATCTGGTGCCAGGCAGTCAACATAAGAGTGAAACCAGTCTGAAACAGTTTAACTATTTACAAAGGTGGAGGGGCATCGCACTCCTGGCACCATGACCACTACAGTGCTCTGTAGTTGTTATGGTGTTTGGAGTGATTCTTTAAAACCCTAACTGTAACAACTGCAAACTATAACCTATGCAAATTAGCATAATTTACAAACATATTATATAGACACCCATCTCCGTCATGCAATATCATTTTTACAGGGTAATTTACTAAAGTGAGAATTCAAAGTGAATTTCAAATTTGAGGCCAAAATTGCTGAATTGAAGAAAAAAAAAAATCTCTACTTCAGCAAAGCTTCCTGTTTGGCTACTTAGAAATAAAGTTTGAAATTCACACTTCGGTAAATAACTAAGTGGTTGCTCTTCAGCCTATCATCCGACTCTCGTCCAGCTGGCACATTAATTGGCACCTCGAATCTACCCATTATTATCTATCCACGTATTATACCTGGAGCTGTGCAGGAGGGATAGAAAGAGGCGTGGGGGGTGCAAGCTGATCCAAACAGCCTTAACCAGCATAAGCCATCCTCCTAATCCCAAAAAGTAGGAAACAGGAGTGTGGCTAAAAGATGACAAGCATCTGTGTCTGCATGCGGGTCAGTGTGTGTGTATGACATCTCATAAAATCTCAACACCACACAAATATACACTTCTGTAACAAAGTGCACATACACCTAACATTTAAAAACAAAATTCATTTAAATGGAAACACACCACTGTATTTCTTGTAATTGTCCTATTTATAGTTAAATCCCCCTCTCGTAATACTGTAAAGCGATACGGAATCTGTTGGCGCTATATAAATGGCAATAATAATAATAATAATAATATTCAAAGCAACCACTACACAATTGCTTTGAAATGACAACAGTACACCACTACACACACACAATTGTGTAGTTGTTGCTTTGAATACAGGGGTTTGTTTCTGTGTTGTGTTGCCATTTGAATTAATACCATACAAAAACCAACATTTAAACACACACACACACTGCTCAGTGCTGAATATAACCCTGCCAGGATGGGTAAATGGTAGATCCCCAGCTGTCACAGCATTGTGGAATTTGTATGGCAGATAGGCATCTACCTTTTAGCCACTCTTGCGATGGGAAGGGGGTATTTCCACCAGGGCCCTCTCTATACTAGTTCCCCCACAGCCCCCATGTCCATATATTCCCCTCACTCTTCAGGTCTTTGCTTGGTCCGTTCCTGCACCCGCCTCCCCCGCTCCCTGGCAAGCTGAGCACCCTGCACGCCATGTCTCTCCGAGCAGAGGGCTGACATCCACTGACTCCGGCAGACACGACAAATCGGAGTCCGGTGCCCAGTCTCATCTGTCCCCCCGCCCCGTCTAACCACGTGGATCAACCAGCACTTCCGGGGTCAGCAGGACACGCCCCCTGCGTCGGGTTTGACGCCGCGCGCTTGGCAGGAGCTGTGCGTGCGGCAATGGGCAGTGTGACACGTGGTGTGCGCAGCACTGTAAAGCCTATAAGGGGAAATAACAGATCATCAGCCCTATGGTTAACATAGTATATATTTTTAGCAGTCTTTAAAGGGACAGTCGGGACATCTGAACTGCTGGTGGATGAGCTATGATAGCAGTGGCTACCTTTGATAGGGAAGTCTGTTTCTGGGCTGTGGCTAAGGAAGCAGGCTTATGATGTAGCATTCTGCTAAGATTGTTTTTATGCAAAAAATAATAATAATACTGCAATTAAGGCCAAATGCATTAAAGTAGTATTGGTACACAGAAACTGCCTTTAAAAAAAAAAAGATGTGGACCCAGCCATCAATGTCATGTATATAAATAGAATGACAGCCTCTACCTAGAATTACCAGATTTTACTAATTACATGACGTAAAGTCATGATTTTATAAAGGACACGGAGGCGAATATTATGCTTATCTCTTTCTTTATTATACCTCAGCAGCAAAGAGAAGGTATAAACATTCATAGAAAAAAAGTTTTAACAGGTTCTCCAAGGGTTAACCCAACATCATACCCTTAACCAATAGGAACAGTCCCTCTATCTATAACTATTCATGTGACCTTTCCTCTTCCTCTTTCTTTGGTCATGCCGAAGCTGTATCATTATAACTTGAGGAGACACTGGAAACACTTCATCCGTTGTGTCGAACTTTCCCATATCCCGAACTTGTAAGAACTTGTCTGTGTAAACTGCGGTGACAACTGGTCATCCCGGGTGTCGCGTATTGCGAATTAAACTGTAAGGGGATAGAGAAAAATATGGTAAAATGTGGTCTGAGGAACTGTTTGCCACAACATTAGTGATGAGATCTTAGTGTATGCCTGATGTATTACAGATTCACTAGTACAGTTTTCTTAAATAAAAAACGAATTAAATCGAGACGAAATAAGACACCACAATGACCCTTGTTTTATTGTTTATTGGGTGGGCATGTCACTCTACTTTCGTTGATATATGTCTGAGATACTCACCGGGTGGGCCAATATTCGCCTCCGTGTCCTTTATAAAATCATGACTTTACGTCATGTAATTAGTAAAATCTGGTAATTTTATTAAAGGACACGGAGGCTCATATTATGCTAGTTCAAAGCTGTGCAATGACACTTGATGCTACGTGGTCTGTAGGGTGAAAGTAATATTCCTTAAATGTGGATTCATGAGACCAATCTGCCGTCCGTAACAAATCTTCCAGTCTGCATCCCAAGTTGAATACTTTAGATGCCATAGCTCCTCTAGTGGAGTGTGCCCCATATACTGAAGTATCAATGTTCGCAGAAGCCATTATCCATTTCACCCATCGGGCTATCGTTATGGAAGATACTGGCTGGTGTGGCGAATTGACGGCCAGAAATAGTTCGTGGTGTCCCGAGTTTCGAAATGCCTGTGTCCGTATTTCGTATTCCTTGAGGCAGGCAATCGGGCACAGTTTTTGGTTGTGCGGGAATGCCGGATATGACACTGATGTTGTCGCTGATTTTGTACGTCTGGATATGTTGAAAGTTACTCCCGTTGGAGTGAACGTGCGTGCGTCGACGTCCAATGCCCGGACATCCGAGACTCTTTTGCAGGATTTTAGGCATAAGAGCATGGCCAGTTTCGCTGAAAGTTGTTTCAATGTGAGGTCCGAGTTCTGTGGCCATAGTTCCAAAAAATTTAAGACCACATTCACGTCCCATACCGTACTATATCGGGGTCGCGGTGGTCTTGCCAATCGAATACCGCGTAAAAGCTTGCATACCAGCAGATGCTTGCCTGCTGGAAATCCTTGGAAACCATTGTGTCCCGCCGAGATCGCTGACCTGTATACATTGATGGTCCGATATGCAAGTCCTTGGTCGTATAGGTGTGTAATGAAACACAACAGTTGGTTTACAGGGGCACATACGGGATCCACGTGTTGTTCCATGCACCAACTACTCCAGATGTTCCAAGCTTTAGAGTAGGATCGTCGTGTTCCCGGAGCCCAGGCTCCCGCCAGGAGTTCGAGAGTTGTTTGCGGAACGTTTGGCACGACCCAGGGACCCCGGAAAGGAGCCACGCTAACAACCTGAGTTGTCCCTGCGCCATCAGAGGGTGTGGATTCCCATCTGGGTCTGAGAGGAGATGTGGATCCTCGGGCAGCATTCTGGGAAGATCTATGGACCTCTCCATGAGTAAAGGGAACCAAGGTTGTGCAGTCCAGAATGGAGCTATGAGGACTAGGGACGTCCGTGTGCGGTCGAGGTGCACCAGCGTTCGTGCCAGTAGGGCGAACGGTGGGAACGCGTATAGTCGTTTGTTCGGCCATGGTTGTAGGAATGCGTCCGTAGCTAACGCGTCTGGGTCCGGTCTCCAGTTGAAGAATTCCGGGAGTTGCGTATTCAACCGAGACGCAAACAGGTCTATATACATCGGACCCCACAAAGCGTGCAATCGTAGGAACGCCTTTCGGTTCAGGCGCCAATCGCTGGTATCCTGCAGATGTCTGGAGTTCCAATCTGCCACGGTGTTCGAAAGTCCCGGGATGTATTCGGCTCGTACTGTGATGCTGCGTTCTAAGCAAAACTGCCAAAATTCTGTGGCTAAGTCTGCTAAAATTTTGGACTTGGTGCCGCCGAGGCGGTTGATGTACTGGACAGCTGAGACATTGTCCATTCTCAGGATGATGGAACAATGTGTTGCGGGACCCAGGAGGCTCTTCAGTGCAAACGAACCCGCCATTAATTCCAGGCAGTTGATATGTAGTGTCCTTTCTGCTTGGGACCATTTTCCGCCCGTGGAGGTATGTCCACAGCGCGCTCCCAGGCCCGTGTGCTGGCATCTGATTCTATTACGCAATCTGGGTTGTTGCCGAAGATTGCTCTGCCGTTCCACGCTTCCATGTGCTGCAGCCACCACCTGAGCTCCTCCTTGGCTGTGTGGTCGAGTGGCACAGAGTCTGAGTAGGAGTGTCCTGAGCGCAGTTGCGCGGCTTTTAGTCGCTGTAGGGCCCTGTAGTGTAGAGGCCCTGGGAAGATCGCTTGTATGGAAGCGGAAAGGAGTCCAATTATCCTGGCTAGTTGTCTGACCGTAAGTGTTGGTCGAGCCAATGTTCTGCGGATCTCCTTCTTGATGATTTTCATCTTTGTGGATGGCAGGCTTAGGGTCCCTAAGACCGACCCTATTTCGAACCCTAGGAATTCTAAGGACTGGGAGGGGGTTAGTACCGACTTCTCCCAATTGATTAGGAATCCTAGGTTCCGTAGTAAAGTTACTGTCCAATGTAAATGTTGTTGTAGCAGTAGGGTGTCTTGGGCCATGATCAGCATATCGTCCAGATATATGATCATGCGGACGCCCCTGCTGCGCAGCAGCGCAACCACTGGCTTCAGCAGTTTTGTAAAGCACCATGGCGCTGACGATAGGCCAAACGGAAGGCACTGAAACCTCCAGGTCTGGGAGTCCCAGCTGAATTGTAGGAGATGCTGACACTCCTTTGCAATGGGGATGGTGAGATATGCATCTTGGAGGTCTAATTTGACCATCCAATCCCCCAGCCTGAGAAGGTCTCGCAGGCAATGAATCCCTTCCATTTTGCAGTGGTGATATCGAACAAAAGTGTTGAGGGGGCGGAGATTGATCACCGGTCTTACCCCACCGCCTTTCTTGGGGACCAGGAACAGATTGCTCATGAAACCTGGGGAGTGGGGTGCGACCTGATAGATCGCACCTTTCTCCGCCAGTGCTATGATTTCTTTCGACACCAGTTCCCTGTCCTGAGGGGCGAATACCATCCGCCGTGGCATTGTGGTTTGGATTGGGTGTGAGACGAACTCTATGTGGTACCCCGCTACTGTGTCGAGAATCCAGGCATCGGACGTGAGTCTGTGCCATGCCCCGATAAATTTGGAAAGTCTGCCCCCTACGTGCGAGGTATGAGAGAGGGGAAAAGGAAAAACACTTACCATAAGGTCGTCGGCCGTATGTGGCGCCCCTGTGACCTCTGGGTTGCCATGATCTGCCCCTGACCGGGAAGAAAGGTGCTGGGGTTCTGGTCTCCGCCTGTGGGACTCTTGGTGTCGTGGGGCCCCGGTAGCCCCGGTGGGAGCTCCGTGATGGGCGGCTGGACAGGCGGCCCCTGTACCTGCCAGCCCCTCCAAAAACCTTCGGGGAGAACACCCGTTTTAGATTTGTTTGTGCCTTATCCAGGGCTGTGAATGTGCTCACGTAGGTGCCCAGCTCCTTTACAAAATTGTCTCCAAAAAGGAGGCCTTTTGCCTGGGGTCCAGGCTCGGTTATGGCCATGTTGACCAGCTTGGGGTCTATTTTCATGAGAATTGCCTTCCGCCTCTCAGTACTAAGTGCGGCATTTGAGTTGCCGATGAGGCAGATAGAGCGTTGTGCCCATTCTCGGATCACTAAGGGGTCTAGTGGTGCGCCACCTGAGATTGTCTCTTCGACCAAGTCGAAGATCTTTGCGCTAGGGCCCAAGGAGTCGAGCACTTTATCCTGGCAGTGGCGCAAGGAGTAGTCCAGCCCTTTCTTGGCTTTCCAGCCAGCCTTACCCAGGAACTGGGCAATCTTGGGGTCCACCTCTGGCGTGGCGCACGCCATATCAGGGACCGTCGGGCGTGGGCACTCTGCCCTTAACTTATTCCTGGTTGTTTTATCCAGGGGCTTCCTTATTCTGGCCGCAATATATTGGGCCACATGGTCAGCTGGGAACCAGTCAGTGGACCTGGGGTGCTGCAGGTCGTCAGGGTTGAATAGGGGCTCGCCCTGGGGGTCTAGGATGATGGAATCATCCGTGGGCGCTTTTCCCTTAGCTGGTATGACTGCCAGGTTGCGCTCAGGGGAAGAGTTCCCTGATTCCAACGAGTCGATTTCCTCGGACTCACTCATTACCTCCTCTATGTCCGAACCGGAGTCGGATGTCTCTGT